GGGGGGGGGGGTTGGTGTTTAGGGGTGTCAACAAGTTTAGGGTCATCGATTTGGGGGCTGTGGGTTTTTCGGCCAGGGGATTCGGATTTAAGGTCGACTTTGGGTGGCTTCGGGCTTCGTAGTTTGACGGGTCTTGGGCGTTAACGCTTTCGGGAGTTCCTAAGCCAAGACAGAAGCTCTGTAGTGGGCAACCTGCACAGAATCCCGACACACACTGGAGCGAGAGCGGCGCACCAACTGCAACCACGACACAATTCTCATCCACGCCAAGTAAGCATGGAAAGCAGGTTGGTACAGGTTGTTCCCAGAATGCCCATACTCATCATGTCATAGTAGGGATCTTAGCTGCAAGAATCGTAGCGTCCGTAGCCAACATCCTAACGAGTTTGATCTTGCTTCATAGGCTGGAAGTTGGAGGCCAGCCCCGATTTCAACAGCTCTCGGTTAAAAAGCTACATTAAGGCAGAGGCATGATGGTAAATCAGCTTTACGTTATGGCACAAGCAAGTCTGAAGGCTCCGGTACTTGGGGAACCGGAGCCCTCCGAAGGACGATGAACACGACCGTCTTCGATTCTAGCGGTGCAACCGGCTCCATGTACGTGGCCCGGTAGACACTTCCGGCTTACGGCCTTCAGAGCTTGAACAGACCTTGGGCTTGAGGGTTTCCGGTCCAGGGCGAGAGCCAACAGACTCCGACCTTCGTGAGGAGGCGAGTGTCCTTGCAAAGCAAGAGTTGTTTCTCATGTCGTGGCCCTGTCACAAGGCACCCTATACAAAGCCCCGTAAATCCGATACTTTCCCTCCCACACACCCAAGCCCCAGCACACGCCCTAGACTCTTGTTGCACGGCTCTGATCTAAGAGGTGGTTTGGGAGGAGCCAGCAGATCTCCACGAGGCCGTACTGCTCGGGTGCCTGAGCTCTGTTTCAGTCAGATTTGTAATTGAAATATTTTGGGTTTATAGAGCTTTAGCTTATCGACTCGTTAAAGGCTGTTCAGGCGGCTTCGGATTTGGTGCCTCTCGGGGTTTGCATTCATTGCTTCGGGCTCTTCACGGGTTTCCGTAGGGGGGCGTGGGGATTGTGACGTTAGGGCTTCGGGGTGTAGCCCTCAGGGCCGGTTTCAAGGGATATCTTGGTTTCAGACTTGGCCGATTGCGAACCAGATCAGGTACCCTGAATGGTCAAGCAGTGACAAGAAGCCCGAAGCCCTACCGCCTCGACCGAATCGTAGGTTTTTTGCAGGGGTCCGGGGTACTTCTGCGCCTTCATCCCTTGCTTGCTCGTGCCCGAAGGTACAAGGTGTATGTCGATGATGGGAACTCCTTGGACACGAAGGATATCTTCTACCTGGCAGAGGCGGATTTCCGAAAACCTGAAGCCTTCATGTCGGATGGGAGGCCATCAATTTTTGTCTGAAGAAACCTCCAGCCCCACCTGCGCAAGCCAAGCGTCGCCTCGATCCTGATGTTCAACCGGAAAGCTGTGCAGGCCGTGAAACTGATTTCCCGAAATTAAAATCCAGCCGAGCAGAACAAAGATACACGGACAACTGGCAGCAACAGTTAATGTACCCATGACATGGCTGTACATGTCTCGTGGTTGACAACGAACCGTTATTGCGTAAACTCACAACAGCCGCAGTAGCAATCCTCAGCATGGTACTGGTTGTCATGACCATCATGTGTTTCATCATCAATCATCATTGGCTATGATCACCCAGTACTGTCATTGCTAGTTTTACCATCATCTTGTTCTTGCTATTAGTTATTATTGTCAAGATTGTATACGACTAGTTTTCGTTTCACCATCATCGAGGTTGAGTCTTTGCCAGCGATGTCCCAGCAGGTCATCGATGATCCGGAGCGCCGCGTATTCCGCCAAGATCACATCGTCCCCAGCAGAGCTTACAAGCAGCGTGGGCTGAGCCTATAATTTTTAATATCTTGTGCGCAGGAACAGAAGCCGCATGCCGACCGTTATCTCTTCAGAACCCTGAAAGCCCCCTGGATCCCCAGGCGCGCCTGAAGCCCGCAGCCCAATAGACACCCAGATCAGATCGGGGACGCCCAAACCTCGGAGTTCCAAGGTACAAGGTCACCGCCATCACGGAGGTCGGCGAAGGAGATGCAGCGGTGGAGCTGCCTGTCTTGAAAAATTAGCGAGTGCTTTTTTTGTTTGGAGGGGTCAGGATTCTTGAGTCATATAGGGCTTTATAAGTGTTTCAAGGGGTTATTAGGGCAGGGTTTAGGGTGTAGGCCCGTAGGCGCTGTAGGCTTCAGCTTAGAGGATAGGGGCCCAGAGGGTTCAGGCTTGCGCCTCGGCGCTCGGGCTGTTGCTACCAGGACCTCGGAGTTTTCAAAGCCCCCTAAACCCCAAACCCTAAACCCTCAAACCCCAAAACCCTAAAACCCCAAACCCAAAGCCCCTAAACCCTAAACCTCCGAGGTCTTTGGTTCCTTCCTCGACGCCCCGTGCTGCGCCGGTCGCCTCTGTCCTGGACGACTGCACCATCCCTTGGTGGACCAGTGCCTTTGGCTTCCTACAAGGAAGATCGTACAGTAGATATACATCCTGCATCACCCATAATACGGACATATACCATAATTCCCGTAGTCATAGTTTAAGGCCCTTCAGGTAATGCAGGATTTATATCATCAACAGTAGTATAGTAGACTGCAGTAGTAGCGGCACGCACAAGTGCCATCCGCTCATTTTTCTGACATTGCATCAGATAACGGACTATAACGCTTGTGATACAAATAGCACAGACTAGCTTATGTCCAGCGCAGAAGTATATACGCAGTGGTTATGTGTGTTGTCCACTGTTGGCTTCTGTTTGGATGTACACCGGCTATTTTTCGCTTATGTTATGTTCTCACACAGCTAGATCGTATACAGTCAAGACCTGGGACGCACGCAGCTCAATAAATATCAAGATGTTTGGGAAGAGTTTGTTTGTTTCGTAGCTGTCAGTTTTTTTCGGAAAAACAGCTCCCCGTTCATACCTCAAGCTTCCTTCCACTCAAGGCAAGGCCCTCTGCCCGTACCCTCAGCGGTATCAACTGGCCGTTGCCTCCGTGGACGTCCGGGAAGATGCCGACATCACCTCGCCGCGGCTCTTCGGCCCGAAACCTTGGCGGACATGCGGGTTTCCGAGCTTTTTTTAAGGGGTCCTCTTGAAAAAGGGTCCTGTTGTTTTGAGGGCTCGGCCCACCCCCAAATGGGGTCTTTCGGGTGTAAGATGCAGTTGAGGGTGTTGGGCGTGAGGGTTTTTGGCTTCGGATTTCGGGATGGCTCTTGGGGAACTTGGTGCAACGGTTCTTGGTTTCGATTCTCGACGCTACCCACCTGTGCCTCAACTCTTCGACTCAGCACCATGCCCTCTAGCAGCACCCAGCTCCATGTGATTTGGAATAGCAGGCCGATGCTTGAAACCCTCACTCTTCATCATGGTTCTTGTGTCTCAAGCGTCGTTCTCGCAGTCATTGTGTGCGACTCCCCGCTTGGCCTCAAGAGCCTTAAACGCTTGCTCCCAGATGCGTCCACATGGTGAGCTTAAGATTGAAATCCTGGGCCCAAAGCCCCAAACTCCAAAGCCTCAAATTTTCGATCCTCCTAAGGCCCGGAGCCCTTTCAACCTGAGCCTTCGACATCTCTGAGGCTATTCCCCTTCGTGACCGTGACTCAGGGAACCATCCTCGAGGTCACTTCGCACGGGCAGAGGGGCATTCTACTTATTCATGCCCTTATACCCATAGTCTCCATTGTAGTTCCTTTTCGGGGTTACCTTTTGGGATTCTTAATATAGAATTGGTTACACCAAAAAACGAACTACAATGGAGACTATAGGCAGCGCCCTAAACCCTAAACCCTAAACCCTAAACCCTATTCTGGTAATTACGGCCTAGGATCCTTAAACAGGAACTACAATGGAGACTATAGGTATATAACCATACTCGAGGCCTAACCAAACGCTTCGGGTCCCGAGGTGACCGAGGAGCGCCTGGGGGCCGACGGCCGCATGCAGCTTTGACAGAGATGTGGGTAGTTCTCTTTTAAAGGCTCCTTATAAAGGGATCTATAAGGGTTTCTATAAGGCTTCTGTAAGGGTACTATAAGGGCTCTATATGGGTGGTTCTCTAGAATAGGGTCCCTTTTAGGGTCCTTTTTTTTGTGTTAGAAGTGTGCCATAAATCTATACTGGGGACCTACAGAGGGACCATAATTTAGAGAACTGCCCATGTGTTGAGGAAGTAGCTCCGCAGCTTGTGTCTGAGAGCGTGCTCAACGAGTAAGGAAAAGCATGGAGCACATGTACCAATACATGTGTATGTATACAGTATACCCATAAGTATATGCTCATCTTGGTTTCTCTATCTCTACCTCTATACAGTCTATATAGAAAGGATGCTACTGCCATGTAGGTAAACACCTTCTCTGCCACAAGAGAAACGCCTCTTGGGCTGTCGAAGGTTGAGGATCTCAGCGTCTAGGTCTTTCATTTATTGAGGTTGAGGAGTTTCCGGGCTGTCAGGATTGAAGGTGCCAGGAACCCTTCACGGCTTGTACGGCTGCATGATTCGCGGATCCTCAGGTATCTGAGCATCCCGAGCTATGGCGGCTGGCTCTACGACGACACTCCGCTGCCCCTGATCCGCACCAAATCCCAACTTCTTCACAGATGGTCCCCACATCCTGGGACCGCCAACCCGAAGCCCTGAGTCCTAGGCCTTATAACCCCTAAACCCTAAACCCTAAAACCCTAAACCCAAAGCGCCTGAGTTTCCTTCGAGAGTTTTATTGCCAGGAACCCTGGCAGCCCCCTGGCAGAGCGGCTGCCTTCTCTGAAAGCTCAGTGGACCTGGCCTGACGAGGAGGACCGAGACTCTCGGGGGGGGGTTTTGGGCCTGGGGGGTTTCGGCGGCCTCGTCTTTGGGGCTTTAGGGCGTTTATGAGTTTAGGCCTTGGGGTGTAAAGATTGGGAAGTCGAGGGCTCCCAAGAAAAAGCAGCCAGCGAGCAGCCGTTGAGCTCTGGCGGTTTGGAGCGTTCTGTCAGTGCCAAGCAAAGGCCATCCAAACAGCTTCCTTCTGGGCACAACCCTCGCCCCCAATTTTTTTCGACCTGAAGCCAAGATCAGAAAAGACCAACGGTGGTCTCAACACAGCTGTCTTGCTCATGATACGCACTGCAAAAGCAGTCAGAAAAGGTAATGACGGCAATACCAGGAGCAGCAACGCGGACCAGCAAGACTATGTTGATTATCGCAAGCAGTACTAAGTCGCCAGCAGCAGACTAACCACAGTCGTAAGGGGATGATGAATGGTGGTTTCATCCAGAAACTACTTTGATTGGTTGCCCTAAACCCTAAACCTTAAGCCCCAGACGAGGAGAAGGCAATCGGAGGATCTCCCATCACTGCCTGGCGGGTCTACAGATCAACCGATGGCATCATCTGGACCGACAACTTCACGGCGCCCTGGATGCATCCATGCAATCTCTCTTTCAGACTACTTGAGTAGGGTAAGTAGCCTGATTCATGGAGAGGGCAGCCGATCTTGCGGTGCTCAACAAGGCATATCGAAGATCCGGATAGAAGGATCTTTGTTGCACTTGTCTCCGCCGCTTCCAGGACCCCGCAACGGGTCCGATCAGAGGACCTATAGAAGTATTGATTAAAGTTAAGAAGCTTGGATACCCCAAACCCTAAAACCCTATACACTAAAGCTCAAACCCTAAACCCTAAACCCTAAACCCTAAACCGGCCAATAATCCAAACGAGGCTCAGGACTTCCCCGAAGGTCTGGGAAGAAGACCCGAGCAAATGAAGACAACCGCTTCCGGGGCTTCGGCTTTGGATGCCTGAACGCTGTCCGTTTCGCTTGGGCTAGGGTTTAGGGTTTTAGGGTTTTAGGGTTTTAGGGTTTAGGGGTTTAGGGTTAGGGTTTAGGGCTTAGGCTTAGGGTTTAGGGTTTAGGGTTTAGGCTTCTCCACTGAGTTCAGCTTCCTTCAGAGTTCAGTCAACTTGCGACAGTATACACCGGTGCAGGCCTATAGTCAGATCCTCATGCCGAAGATCCCCTGAAACCCTAAGGCCGCCAACTGTTTCAACAAGACGACCGCCAAGGTTCCCCCCAAAAAAAATATCTGTAGGTCCTAAGTTAGGGTTTCTTTAAAGGCTCCTTTGAAGGGGTTAGGCTTCAGGGTTGAGGGGCTCGGGTTTAGGCCCCGAAGTTCCTCGAGCGAGGCGGAATTGTCGGCCACTGCGCGGAACGTGTCCATCCCGTGCGAAGTCAGCGAGGCCTGTCCCAGGGGTTGATGTACCGGCGGTTCCCTAGGATTCATTCATTGCTATCAGAATATCAACCAAAGGGCGGATTCAGAACATCGCTTCTATTCTGGGTTCAAGGGGCTGATGCCGTGGGGGTCAGAATAAGTAGCAACAGTAGAAAACACCCCCATGGTCCCTCTTAAACCATGTCAAAATATACCCATGACTCATACCCTTACATTACCCGATAACTTATGATTTATGGTATAGTGATGTAGGGGTGTATACTGGACGCCGGCTTACGCTTCCGCCCAAGCTTCAACTTCTGTGTGATTGGGTAATGTAGGAGCATTGACCATTGGAACAGCTTATTTGATGTGTGTGTGTGTGTTAGAGCATGGTGTAGGCAGCAAGGGGAAACTAGTTTTGTCCTTGGTGTTGTATCCGCTATTAACCACTGCTGAAGTATTCCCTTTGCAGATCACGGTACCCTTCTGGTTGCGCGTGACGGCTGTGAACAATGTGGGCGAAGGCTGCCTTGCCCGACACGACAGGGTTTTGCGGTTCAGTGGGAGGTTCCTTTTTTGAGGGTACCGTGAGGGTGCTATAGGGTTTAGGTTCAGGAGGGTTTAGCAGGGCTCGATTCGAAGGGCTTAAAGCGGTTTAGTAGGTTCATAGGCCGCAGGGTCTCACCAGGTTCTACAGACGCAGGGCTGGGCATAAAAGCCCCACGACCTTTGAGTTCCAAGCTCTACAGATGCCGTCGCCTGCCAAAGCTGGGACACATCTGAAGGCTAGATTCTGAAGGGTGTTCCGGATTCTGCTCAGAGCGAAACATCACCCACGATCTACAAATGTCTCGATGACATGCAGGTCTTCCCTGGCACCCTGGTGCCCCCTTCGTCCTTGTCGTAGCCTATGCATAGTGAAAGCAGATGTCATGAGTCAAGACAGAGCCTCATTACGTGAATCTTGAAGACCCAAAACCCTCTGCGGTCAAAAGGTGGTGATGCCCTTATATAACCTGATGAAACCTTTGTTTAAACCGTATAAGCCCCCGGACAAACTCCAGCAAAACCCAATCTAAAACCATATACAAGTTTAAAGCTAACGCCCTGTAAAGCCCTGTAGACCCCATAAAAACCCGATACCACTCCAAACAAAGCACCCGTGCGCAAGCAATTCAAACAACCTAAACCCTAAACCCTAAACCCTAAACCCTAGACCCTAACCCTTAAACCCTTAAGCCCTAAACCAGGCCCGCCTTCCAACGCGGCGGCTCTGAGATGCTCCCTTCCACCCGGCCTGCAGCCGGCACCCATCCAGGCGAGGCTTTTGGGAACCTTGGGAGGAATTCAGGGCTTGAGATTGTTAAGGGAATTTAGGGTTTGAGGGCA